GGCCACCTTGGGCAGCCTCGCCCGGGTCGCGACATTCTGGCCCCCCTTGCCTGACGGCGGAGTGGAGCCGGAGGAGGTGGCGGGCGCCGAAGTGGAGGCTCCGGGACTGGCGGAGGGCGAAGGGGTGGAGCGCTGCTCACCTTCGGGCGTGGGCAGCGCCTGGAAAAGATCGGGCAGGATGGGACCCCTGTGAGTCACCGCCGTACCGCCTGTCTCCATTGGGTGCCCAAACGCCGCCTCCCCCCGCGGCTGCTGATCCAGCAAGGGCTTGGCCTCTGCCAGCGCTTCGGCAGCCGTCGATCTGCTGCTGGGCCCCGGGATCGCCACGCACATCGCTTGGACGCTGTCCTGTTTGCTTCTCCGGTTGTGCCTGCAAAGGAAAACAAACGTAGTTGCTTGAAAAAGGCTCGTCGTACTCGGCGACCACCGAGCAAGCCTTACGCACCACTGAGTGAGGGTACGGTGGTTAACCGCAAACAGGTGGATGGGGGCCGCGGCCAGGAGCTCTCTGGTCCGACACAGGTCTCTGATGCGACCGTAGTCCCGCATGACCAGGCCCCACCGACTGACGCGCACACCGGCGAGGCAATGCCCCTGGCTGTGAATGTGGGACAGGTCCAAGAAGATGGCCTCCACCAGCCTGCTGGCACTCGGACAACGTGCCACCTCAGTCCCCTTCCCGACAAAGAGACTGGCGCAGAAGAGATCGGCGCAGAAGAGATCGCGTCACATCAGAAGACCGTATGCTTGACAAAGCCGCCATCGGCCGGCGACGAAATTTCACGCGCGTGTACCGTTTGGCGGCCTCCATGCTCGGCAAGTGGGGAGCCTTGGAGGATCCCGTCTTGAAGCGGCCCTGGACCAGCGGCTTGCGGCGCGGCGGAGGGGCCGACGGAGGAGCCTTGTCGCGGTCGGACAGCTTCTGCCACAGGTCTTTTATTTGCCTGACCTGAGACGGTCTCACGTAGGCGTTGCGGCGCAGCTGCACCAGCGCGTCGGCCAGCCGGCAGACGTGCTGGTAGCCCCCTCGGCCGTCCGGTCACACGACATCCTCCTCCTGCGGGGTTCAAGAGTAGAAGGGCTCGAGGTGCCGTACGTGCGCGCGGTAGAGACGGAACAAAATCGAGACCGAGAGTCAGACGTACCTCTGGCTCCGCCCGCCGCCGCTGCCACGGCTCATCTTCCGGGAAACCCTCAGTTAGTGCCGACATGGCCAACACGCGATGGAATTCGATCCCTTCTTCGTCTTCGTCCTCCTGCACGTCCGCCTGCTCCTCCGGGCAGGATTGGAGCACGGCGCCGGTCTGCGCTAGCAGGTACTCCACCCCGATGAGCTCCCCTGAACGCGAGTCCGGGTCAGCACTCGGCATGTCAGAGGATGCGCGAGAATCTCTCTCAAACTAAACGTCGTCCTCAGCCTTACCCGTGTATTTCCCCGGCGCGGTGTAATTGTGCAAGGGGGAGGGGATCTGGCGCACCCGTGCCACCTCCTGAAAGGCATCCACCACGCGCGCGTTGTAGGAGCGCACCTCATCTTTGCCGCCGCCCACCACGGCCGCCCTGGCCCTGTCCTCGTTCCACCGGGTCAAGCCCTCCACCAGGTACACCTGATATGATTCCGAGAGTCTCGATAGTTGGTGAGTTAAACAACGATGTGGGTTTAATATTACGACCGGTAATATTGACCAAAGTTGATAGAATGAATCGCGGAGCGAGCGAGGGCGGTGACTAGTGCGGGGTTGTCGTCGGTGTGCAATCACAATAGGAAATGGCACCTGAGCGTTCGCCATTGGTCGGGCTAACTGAAGTAGGGAGACCAATCACAATAGGAAAAGGTCCCCCGTACATGGCCATGCACTAGGCGCGGACGCTCCTGGTTGATGAGAGGGTTGCCCATCGTGTCCTTGGCCTCCCAAAAGTGGTCAAGCACCTCCTGGACAAGCCTCTCGGTCTCCTCCGCCCCCCTGGTGCGGCGGCGACAATGCCGCTCCAGCTGCTTGGACTTCAGGGTGACGCGGCCGCCGCCCTGCGCTGCCCCCTTGGCCCTCTTCAGCCTTTCGAGGTCTCCCTCGTCCCACTCGAAGATGGCTGAAGCGAGCCGGGCCATGAAGGGCCCGTCGCTACAGGTGGCGCGCGTCTGTGTTGACGCCCCTGGCGATGCGACGCATGAGGTGCCATATGTCCAGGCGTACCACCAACCGGTCCCACTGGCCAAAGGTGTCGTGGATCTGCCAGCACAAGCGGACTTTTACATCAGACACCACACCGGAGGGGGCGAAAAAAAAACCAAAGACTAAAATCAAATGAATAAATCAAATAAAACCGCCTACTTTGCTTTTCCCGATGACGGAGCAACAGTCACGGTCAACGTACAACACCTCCGGGGGTGGCTTGCCCGCGTCACTGTACCGGCGGACCAGTCCGTCCGCCATGGCCGAAAGGCCCTCCCCCTCCGCGGCCGTGAGCACGGACATGAGCACCTGCCCGTACTCATTGCCCACGTTGGTCACCCAGGCGGCCGTTCCGGCGGATTCCCCCGTCAGCTTCTTGGTCAACTGCAGGTGAGAAGGCACACATGACATCAACGCAACTGTCATCGCCACGGTCACGTCCATGTGATGAGTGAACTACGCACCTTCTTGGTGGAGTCCATCTTCAGGATGTTCCCGAAGACGGAGGTGAGACGGCCCTTGTTGTCCTCCAGGCGGGGGAGCACGTCCCTCACGTAGGCCACGAGGAACCAGGGCACGCGGGGGAGCGGGCGCATGGGCGGGACGTCGTCCCTCCCGCTGGCCGGGACACCCAGCTGGTTGAGGATGGACAGGTAGCTGGCGGACCTGGCCAACCACTCCTCGCTGTGTATCTCCGTCAGCGCCTGGCGCAACAGGGTGGCACTGTTGCCCAGCGAGCGCGTCCTCAGAAGCGAGATGACCGCTTTGTCGCAAGCCAGTCTAACGAGGCGAGGTGTGAAGCGAG